ACCTTTCAGTAACATCTTGTTAACAAAATTTATCAAAAGTCCATTTTTCAGTAGCTTTAATCACAGGGTGTAAAGTTTTGAAATTTTTACTTGCTCAAACCTTAAAATCGTGGTCGTGATTTTTTTATCGTATGATGTAATGTGTAACCGAACTTAATGATTTATTGTTTACGGTTAGGATTATTATCAAATATGGAATTTTAAAATGGGATGGGCTAAATTTTATGCAGGCCTTTTTTCTTTGAAAATAATTAAAGATAATGCTTTCATGCAACTTCCAAAATTATGTATTATGTTTATTTTTAACTGTTTTACAAGCCTATCAAAAAATAATAATAGCTTCAGATCATAATCATAACATTACCATAGTTTGAGTTTATTAGCCTGTCATTCATTCATCAGGAATCTTGTTATTAAATAAAATATATTCGTAAGTTTTTTTTGGATATGTCGAATCTTATGTGTATATTTACATTTTTTTTATCTTATTTCCTATTGCATTTTAACATACTTATCTCAAATGACACACTGAATATTTCTCAGCGAGTGCAACAAATAAGCGGTGCAATTGGTCTTGCCGTTTTATGTGTTTTATCCACTAAAGTTCAAAAAGAAAAAAACAAAAAACAAATTAAACTCCTGGTACTTCAATTTCTTTAAATTTATGTAGAATTTTATTTTGAACAAAATTATTGTAAAAAGCAAGTTTTAATATTAATTGTATTTTAAAAAGGCAGCAAAATATCACAACTCGTTTGCCACGACTGTATCGACAATTTTTTGTAGTAAAATGTCACTGCAGTACGCCACATATAAGGGTGATACTAACTCAAAATCGATCCCAGAGTACGTTGGTTTACCTTGAAATATCAAATGAAAAAATCGATAATACAGCATTAATCGCGATTCCTAATTCATACTTAAGTATCTCAATGTCTACTATAGCCAAGAAATAACTGATCGATCTCTGTGTGCAATTGCACGATTTGCCATAACTTGGAGTGTGTCAATCTATCAAACTGCTTTAATTGGAAATCCATGACGAGTGGATGTTAATTAACGTCTATATTGAGAATTTATGCATTTTACACAATTAAATAGATCATTTTTCTTTTAACTCTTTACAATTATTCTATAATTGGTCATGTTACACTCCTC